TGATTGTCTTTCAGAAGATGGTGAAGCCAGATCTCTTTCAGAGACTTTTAGTTTAGGTTGGTATAATTAGATGACATCTTACCTGATTGTTTTTGGATGTTGCTCCAATTATACAGGTTAATACATTTATATTTCAGAATATCTCAAGGATTTCATTATGCTGTACAGACAATTATATAATCTGAACTACTTCTTTACTAGTTACTGATTTTCTCATATAGTATTTGTCTTGATAACCTTATACTATTTTTAATAACTTAAAACTTCCATCCTCCCTTCTATAGGCTCTTTTAAAAGGATGAATTGAGAATAAAATAAGATAAAAGCAGAAAAAATTCTCATACATAAATTGATTCTAAAGAGGGATTTTTGGAAGAGAGGAAATGTAAATAACAACAATGAAGGGAGTTACTATGTTTCAGATCAAGTAAATGCTGTGATTCATGTTTTTTTTTCCTGCTGTTTACCAATGCACTTTAGGTCATGACTATCAGTATTCTAAAACAGTGCCTATAGTTCCAATTACTTCACTTCCTCCCAAGAAAATTCCAAAGGAATTTATTACAAAATATAAACGAGGGGAGATCAACCCAGTCTCAGCTTTGCATCAGTTTGCACAAATGCAGCGTGTACAGCTTGAATTAAAGGAAACTGTGGCAACAGGTATTTTTTTAATTGTAAGTTATCTGTACTGTTCTAATAGGCAGATGTTGAAATATATATTATGTACATCACAAAAATAAGCCATAGTTCTAGGGAACCCTAGTTTATTGTAAATAAACTTCATATCAGAATATACAGCTTGTTAGGTCTCATGGTTTTTCCTCAGTAGCACAAGAAACTAGCAAACCAAAAAAAGCTTGTTTGGCGCACTGGTGGGCAACTTATGCATTAGCATAAAAGGAGGTTAGCCAGTGATGTCATGATGGCTCCAATTTGTGGCCCTTTTTGGCCCTTTTCCAAGGGTAGAAATTTATATTAAAGTTATATCCAATCTTTATTTGTACAACTCAGAATGTTGTACAGTATGCTCCTGTTTCTTTCCCCCCCACACACACAACTACTACTCCGAGGTGGGCTGGGCTAAAGGCTGGCCCAAAGTCATCCAGTTAGCTGCCATACATAAGGGAGGACTAGAGCTCATGGTCTTCCAGTTTCTGTTTTTTTAAAAAATACAGTGGTACCTCTACTTATGAACTTAATCCGTTCCGTGACTCTGATCGCGAGTCGAGTTGGGCGCAAGTCGAAGTAAATTTTCCCCTAAGGTTCAATTTAATTACCGCTAATCCGTTCCGGCGTCTGTAGACCATGCGTCAGGGGCGGAAAAACGGCCGCTGACCATGCGGCAGGGCGGAAAAATGGCCGCGGACCACATTTCCAACATACATTTGAAGTGCCTTTATACATTTTAGATAATTTTTCTGCTGACAAATACCAATGATACATCATTTTATAAACATTCTCTTTAAGATTATAACACAATGTAAATTTCAATCCTTTCATCCTCATATTCTCCCATTGTTCCATTTGTATATTATACCCAAAGATCTTAACCCATTTTATCATATGTTCTTTAACTTGTTCATCTTCAGCTTCCAACTTCAGTAAAAGTTTATATATTTTAGTAATAACATGTTCATTATTATGGTCTTCCAGTTTCTTTCTAGTCTAGTGCCTTAACCACTCCAAATGGAGAAAAATCTGCCCACTTGTAAGGGGAAGACGAGAGGTGCCTTAAGCTTCTGCAAGGTTTTAATATGTATTGCATTTCTTAAATTTCCAACAAAAGAAAATAACCATTGACCCCAATTACTACTGAGGCACTCTTGAGTTAACCAACCCTTGTTAATGTATTTTCTGAGTCAGGCTGAAGAAAGTCACTCTGAAAGCAAATCTTTTCCAAAACTCAGAAATCCTGGTATACTATATCTGAGAACTGTAATGGCTGTTCTAAATGCCATCTGTCAAGTTTAGCTTTGTTCTACAGGCTTATTTTAGTTGTTGGAAAATAAGTCAGATTTTGCTGCTATTCTGGTATTTTACTAAGATATTGCTTCCAAACCACACTTGAATCTGATTGTTGAGATGCCTCTTATCTTTGTCTAGCTGAAATCTAATATTCTATTCCCTTATTTAGAAATCTGATGTAACACATGATGCTAAGAACTGGTGAAAGGATGCTAACTTCACCCATTTATCAGGAAGAGGATTTTACTTGGTGGTGTCAAATAATTGAACAGTCTACTTTGGAATATTTAAACAAAATGTACTTCAATTGACAGGATAGTTGCATTTTGGATGAGGACAGAAAATTATGGAAGCACTGTTGTGTTTGAGAATCATAATTTTTAGTTTTAGTTTTTCATAAATCTAGATATACTGGAGTTTGAGATTAGTAAAACGTCTTTATTTTTATAAAACTAAATATAAACGTTTGCTTTCCTTTTTGCATTTTGAAGGAAATCTCTTGGGACCTTACTTTGCTTTTTGTGCTGTAGTTGATGGCATTCAGTATAAGACTGGATTGGGCCAAAACAAAAAGGAATCAAAGTCAAATGCAGCAAAACTTGCTCTTGATGAACTTCTGCAGTTGGAAGAGGCAGAACCAAAAGCTCTGGAAAACCCAGGTAAAGTTTTACAGTGATACATAAGTGAATATTGTCTCTGCGCTATTGGAATTTGAATGATGGAAGTAATATCACCCAAACTGTCTAGTAAGCGTTATTCCTTATATTTGGAACTTAGTGCTAGGGGTTCTGGAGAAAAAGGTAGATGTAATATTTTTTTCTATCTTTGGAGTGCCAGGTTCTACATTATTGGACACAATATTTACTTTATTTTACATTATCAAATGTAAAATAAGGAAGTTTTAATAGATTTAATATTGTGTGTAGCATTTTCTTTAGATTATTTGTTTGTTTGTTTGGTAAATTTGTATAGCTACCTATCTCATATATGTGACTCTGAGTGGTGTACTAAGTTAAAAAACACAAAACAAACCAAAAAAAGGCCCCCAACAAAAATAAAGAAGAAAACATTAAAAACAAAAACTATTTAAACAACATAATATGCGGGAGAACCCACTCAATTTCCCTAGCATATAGGTTTAGATGAAGAGAAATATATATCAAATTGTAAGGAGTCCTAGATCTAACCCTATGCAGAAGCAGCTGTCTTAAGCAACATGTGACATTCATTTATAAGGGTCTTTTTCCACTGGCATCTAATCATGGCACAAACATACCTTGGCAACAATTTTTTCTTCTGTCAACATGATGTTATCATTGTCTCATCCATAGCCCAG